TGCGGCTCACCCGACACTGCCGTGCGCAACCTCATCGTGCCGCACCTCTACTCGGCATGCGCTGGCCGCAGCTCGCACTCGAGCTCAAAGCGCTGATGGATGGCACATACGTGGCGCCTCTGAAAAATGCCTCGTGCGACGACTTGGATGCGGACACTGGCGTCGGCATGGCGTACGAAGCCTACATTGGTAACGACGGCGACTGGGAGGGGAACGCCAAAGCCAACTGGACGAGTGCGCTCCGCTCCGTGCAGAACGCGACCCGCTTGCTGTTTGATCCGGAGATGAACAACATCATGGCCGTCAAGTTTTGGAAGACGCGGGCCGTCGAGCGCTATAATGGCCCGTGGGGAAAAGCGTATGCCAACAAGGTCGTCATCCTCAACAACGAGCTCGACCCTGTGTGCCCGCTCCACTCTGCCCAGCACGTTCGCGACCTCATGGGTCCAATGCACTCGGTGCTCATCACGCGCGACGGGTACGGCCACGGCGCGGCCGTGAGCCAGCCAAGCGCGTGTTTGCAGCGCATTCTCGTCGACCTCTACTCGAACGGTTCCTACCCCATCAACGACGCGCGTTGTGGCGTGGACCACGGACCGTTTGACGCACCGACGCTCCCAACGACGTTGCTCGATGCCATGACGCGCCTCGCAACCATGCGGATCAAAAAGTAATTTTGTTCCGTGTACACATTGTCATCTCTTCGTTTTGGCGCTTGGCGCCGGGTGCAGCGTGTGTAGGGTTGAGACCACACATGATGGGGCTAGGTTAAGTTCTGGCGCCGAGAAGGCGTTGCCTTGCACTGCATGCTGATGACAGCATGCATGGAGGAAGAAGATGCTTCGATGCAAGCCCTTACAGGAGCGCAGGGGCGGAATATAGACTCACTCTACGTTGCCGATAAAAGACTAGGATGGGCTAACGTTACGTGGCCCCGTGTGACCTGACCCGCATCGGGCACCAAAATGCTAGGTCGTTGGCACGAAGAGTTTTGATTTCAAATCCGGTTGAACACGCTGCCTTGACGCACATTCCGCTTTCAAAGTGTAGATTGCGTCTGTCATCACAGCTTTCGCGCATCCACTGTATGGACTCGTGCGCTGAGGTCATCGGTCGTTGCCGTGGTGGTTCGGTGCTGGTTGTTGTTGAAGGCTTCGCATCGCTAACACTCTATCATCGCTCACACTCTTGTTTAATGGGAATCGCATGACCACTTGTCAAAATGCTGCTCTTGTTGTACGTGCAGCTGTTGCCGACGGCCGTGGTCTTTAAGGCCTCCAACTGGCTTCTCCGCCGTTCAACGGGTGCGCTCCACTGGCGCGACACTTGTGGGTAAATCGACGCGCGATACCGATGCGGCACACTCTGTGCCAGGCCGTTCACATGCATTGACCGTCCAAGCGTACACGGTTCTGCCTGGTACAGCGTCCAAAGGGACACTCGTCGTGCATCGCGGCGGCGCCAGTGCCTCCTCCACGGCGACGCCCAGCGTCGCGCTACTCACGGGCGGCCTCTATGACATTGTGGCGTTCGATGCACGCGCCTCAGCAACGTCGGACGGGCGCCGCAACGAGACAGATGACGTCATGGACCTTGACGCGCTTCGACGCGCCGTGCACAGTGACGTATTGCACTACTTTGGTCCCTCGGATGGCGCGTACGGCTTTGATCCTAGGCATGCGGCAAAATCTCATGTACGCTCTGGTATAGTCGCCTCGGGCTTGCGTACGCGACGGCCTTTCCAGACAAGGTTGGCCGCTTTGTCCTGGACGCGATACCAAACGACAACGGAAAGGTCTCCTTGCCATCCCTCGAGGCGCGTTTCTGAGCGAGTGTGCCGGCGCAGGTGGTGGTGGCTGTCCGCTGGCGTCGCTGCCGGCGGGTCAATTGTAAGCCTTTCTCAAGCGCGTTGACGCATCGCCCAGGACCACAGCGATGGGTGAGACGCTCACAGGGTCGGTGTTGCGCCGCACAGTGGCTCGGGCGATGGCGGCGCCCAGTCGGTGACCGCTGCTTGCATCCGCGATGGCTAAGCTCCTGCGCAACGAGAGTGTCGATATCGTGTCGTGGCAAGATGGCGCCGAGTGTCCTTCGTCCAGCGCAAGTGCGTGGCGTAACATCGCTCGTCTTCCATTGCTTGCGTCGCCACAGGTCGCTTGTTCCGAGGAGCCACCGCCCCGTAGCATGTCAACGGCCTCGACAACGTATCGTTGTCGTGTCTTGGTTCTGACCACGGAGCTCGACGCATGGGCGACCAAGGCGACAGCTGATCACATCGTTCGTGCGCTCGGCGTCGCCAACGCCGCGCTCGTGGTATGCGACGGCTAATGCCACGGCGCTAGTGTGAGCCAACCGAGTCGCTGCATGCACGCGCTTCTCGCCGCGCTCTTCACCAACGGCACGTATCCCTTCGAGCGACGCTGCACTGAGGACGCGCGGCCATTCCAGACGCAGTTCGAGGTGCTTTTGGACCCCCGCGTGCCCGCGTGAAGGCCATGTATACGGTCGCAGCTGCTATCCATGGCCATTCCTGAGGTGGCGCCTACTTGCCATCTTTGGAATCTTGATTACGCAAGACACCATTTCTCTGCGTCTTTTTGCTCCGTCTTGATCGCCCGACATGACCGATGGACGCCGCGCACGATGCCGTGGCTGTGCCGGGGTTGTCGATGGTCCGGCGTGCACTACAGACACGTGGCAGCCTCCTGGCGCTCGCTGACATTGCCCTTTCTGTGAGGTTGAAGTTGGCCGTTAAAAATAGCACCAATCACGACGCATGGAATATCTCAGATATCGAAGGGCCGCCTCGAAAAGAACAGTAAATCAGCATGGCGCCGGCCTGCGACATCGCGGCCGACGCACTTGGCATCTTTCTGGAGGGCCTTCTCCTGCCGTGCGAGACACTTCTGGCCCTACTCGTGTGTAGCCTCTCGTCCGCCGAGCCGGCCATCCACCACTACGCACTGGCAAACATGGGCACCAAGACGACGTCCGAGACGCTGCCAGCGACGTTTACGACCGCCTTGCCGCGCCTCCACGTGCGGTCGCCGGATAAAACCAAGCAGCAGCAGGCGCGGCCATCGATGCTCGACCTCTTCTCCGAACCATCCTCCTCCGAGACGCTCGTGCGTGGCCTCTCGTATGCCACAGACGGCAAGAAAGTACCGGCAGGCGACTGCCTCGGAACGCTCCTGCATGTCGACTTGTGGAAAGCGACCGACGACATGCCTGGCCGACAAGACCACGTCGCAGAACTCGACTTGCGCCGCCCGTCGAGCCTCCTCGCCACGGCCAACCCCGGCGACACCATCTTCATTGTCAATCTGCAGGTATTAAAGCCGTGTCTGCTGCTATCGTCGCCATCCATAGCGGGATCGATCGTAGGTACCCGGCACGCCCTTTGTGCATGTTGTGTCCTATTGGCGGCTTTCCGCCGAGGCGCTAGCAAGTGACGCCAAGTTTGCTGGGCTCTTTACCCGCTTCCGAAGCAACGAGCCCGAGGCGCAGTCGTTCCAAGACGCGCGCTTTAAGCTCGTGCCGACGATTGTTGATGGCCCATGGCTCATCAAGGCCGCCGTGCCGCAGAAGCCTGCAATTACTGGCACCAAGCTCACGCAGCGCTATTTCGTTGGCAGCAACTACGTCGAAGTCGATATGGACATTGGGTCAAGCGCCATCGCGTCCAATATCGTGAGCCTCTGCCGCGGGTGCGTTGCGTCACGCCGACATGTCATCCTCATCGAGCTTTTTTAGCTACGCCGAGCGGCTCGTCGTGGACTTGAGTTTGACACTACAAGGCAACAGCGACGTCGAGCTGCCGGAACGCATTTTTGGGTCGGTGCGCTTTTCACACTTGGATTTAACACTGGCGACGGCGATGCCACCGCGGTCGCCATGACCGCAAGAAAAGCGACAGTATGTAGTGGTACATCCGATTGTAAACTTATGGCAACACCTAACCATCGTGTGAACGTCGTTTCGAGAAGGCTTTGTCGTCGTACCTTGTACGGGTTGAGGATGCCGTTCGGATCAAACACGCGCTTCATTTGCTGCATCATGCGGATGGCCTCGGGCGACTTGGACAAGTGCAGAAAGTGCGGCTTGTGCGTCCCAATGCCATGCTCGGCGCTGATGCTGCCCCGGCGCTTGGCTACATTGCATATATTCTGTCAATGGACGCCGTGATCAGATAAGACACGACAACCTGTCCACTCAAAGAGGAAGGGCTCGAGCGCCTTTTGCACTGCGTCGTCGTACGCGAGCGTCGAGATGTTGAGGTGGATGTTGCAGTCGCCGAGGTGCCCAAACGCCACGACCTTGGCGTCATGGCTCGCGAGTGCGGCGCGCGTGTCGTCGACGATCGCATAGTACTCATCGATCGGGATCGAGAGGTCGTACTTGTACACGTGGCCGCGCGAGCTCAGCGAGAGCGTAATGTCTTCGCGAATGCCAAAGAGCTTCTTGGCTTGCGCTGCGTCCTGGGCCACGGTACCGTCGACGACCGTGCCGGCCTCCATGACCTGCTCGAGGTACCCCTCGAGCTTCTCCATGTCGTGCGTCTCGTTCGAGCCCGAGGTCTCCAAGAGCACGTAGAAAGGGCAGTTGGAGCTCAACGGATCCGAAAGCGACGGCTGCTGCGACATGACCATGTCGAGCGACGCGCGGTCCATAAACTCGACGGCCGAGAGGATCTCGCCGAGGTTCTTCTTGGCCTAATGCGATACTGCAACGTGAGAAGCAAGAAAGAGAGCGTACGATGTCCACCTGCACAAAGGCTTTCTTGACGTCCTCGAACGTTTCGCAGCCAAGGAGCGCGACGTTGACCGCTGTCGAGCGCGGCGGCGTGAGCACCGAGAGCTTGGTGATCACGCCG